AATCTGCAAGTATAAATTCGATTGATTTTGATTATGATTTGATATTTGGTGTTCCTGATAGGGTTGTTGATGCTGAAGTTCATGTAGCGAATAATCAAATTCCTGAATCTTTGAAACATTCTGATGATTCGACATTAACATCTGATTCTAATGGTAATAGGGAAAGAATGCATGATGCACAAGTGGAGGGGGAGCACTTGAATTCTACTTCTCATGTTGAGGGGGAGCATCCTTTCGAGGGGGAGAATAGAATATTGGATGATGCTTTCGAGGGGGAGCATAATAATAATGATAATGTCGAGGGGGAGCATAATGATTTACGCATGTAGAATTTTAATCAAAATGAAACTTTTCATGATTTAAATGATAATATTTCTGTCGAAGCATCTGAAAATGATGAACTGTTTGAAGATGCACCATTGGATTTTGATCCATCTTATCCACCAATGGAGAAATGGACAAGAAATCATCCAAAAGAACAAGTCCTTGGAAATCCACAAGATGGAGTGTTAACAAGAGCTCAAATTCATGCAAAGAATGCGGTATTCAATGCTCATCAAGAGTTTTGCATGTTTAATGTTTTTATTTCGAAAATAGAACCTAATACAGTTAAGGTTGTAATGGAACACTCTGATTAGGTTGTTGCTATGCAATCTGAACTTGCTGAATTCGAAGGATACAAGGTTTGGAGATTGATTCCTAAACCAAAAGATGTTTCGATTGTTAGGTTAAAATGAATTTTTAAAAATAAAACCGACAAAGATGGCAATATTGTTCGAAATAAGGCTAGCCTTGTTGTTAAAGGTTATTCGCAACAAGAAGGTATTGATTATGAAGAAACCTTTGCCCCTGTTGCAAGACTTAAGGCTTTTCGAATATTTTTAGCGTATGAAGCTGATAAAGATTTCAATGTATATCAATGGATATCAAATGTGCTTTTCTCAATGGTGAACTTGGAGAAACAGTTTATGTTGAACAACCTCTAGGTTTTGTAAATGAAGAATTTCCTGATCATTGTTATATTTTAAATAAAGTTGTTTATGGATTAAAACAAGCACCAAGAGCATGGTTTGCAACTCTTACCATTTTCTTAAAACAATAGAAATTTAAACAAGGATCAGTTGATCCCACATTATTTCGAAAGAAAGTTGGGGATCATCTAATGCTTGTTTAAATTTATGTCGATGATATTATTTTTGGTTCTACTGATCCTGCTTTGTCTAAAGAATTCGAAAATCTTATGAAAAGTCAGTTTGAGATGAGTATGATGGGAAAAATAAATAACTTTTTGGGGTTAAATATTTGTCAAAGCAGAGAAGGAATTTTTATCAATCAAGAGAAATACACAAAGAATCTGCTTGAAAAGTTTGGAATGAAAAATAGCACAAAGTTACGAGTACCAATGGCGGTTGGAACAATGCTAACACCTTCGTTAGATAAACATGCTGTTGATCTTACTTTATACAAGAGCATGATAGGTTCGCTACTTTATCTCACAACAAGTTGGCCTGATATTATGTTTTCTGTTTGTAATTGTGCAAGGTATCAATCAAATCCTCGAGAAACTCACTTAACGGCTATGAAAAATATTTTTCGCTATCTCAAAGGAACAATTTCGTTAGGATTATGGTATCCTTCGAAATCTGGCTTTTTCATACAAGCATTTTCTGATGCTGATTTGGGAGGTTGCAGTCTTGATAAAAAAAGTACAAGTGGCGGATGTCAACTTTTAGATGGGAAGCTTGTAAGCTGGCAATAGAAAAAGCAAACTTGTGTTGCAATATTGACTGCTCAAGCTGAATATGTTGCAGCTGCAGCTAGCACTTCTCAAATCATTTGGATTCAAAGTCAACTGAGAGATTATGCAATAAACATGAAAAAGATTCCATTGTATTGTGATTCACAAAGTGATATGCACATTTTTCACAATCCAGTACAACATTCGAAAACAAAGCACATTGCACTTCGTTATCATTTTATCAAAGATCATGTGGAAGATGGAAATATCGAAATTCATTTTGTAAAGACAACTGATCAGCTAGCTGATATCTTTACAAAACCTTTGGATGAAAAGTCATTTGTTCGAATTTTAACAGGTCTAGAAATGATGGAAGAAAGTTCCGTTCCAGGTCTAATTCCGAAAGAATAAAAAGTTGGTGATGAGGAAAAGTGTCGATTCAGAGGTAAGTTTTAATCATTCAGAGGTTACTGTTCACATTCAGCGCTTCGACACGCTTCGCTTTCGTGATTATGACAGTTTGCACATAACGAAAAATTTTCGTAAGTTTGCTAAACATTTTATTTTAAAAAAATCAAAAACAACAAAAATATTTTCGTTCTTTGTTCTTTATTTTCGAAAAATCAAAAACAACAAAAATATTTTCGTTCTTTGCTCTTTATTTTCGAAAAATCAAAAACAACAAAAATATTTTCGTTCTTTGTTCTTTTTTTTCGAAAAAACAAAAGCAATAAAAATATTTTTGTTCTTTGTTCTTTATTTTCGAAAAATCAAAAACATCAAAAATATTTTCTAATGTTTGTTCTTTCTTTTCGAAACATCAAAAACATCAAAACTATCTTCTTTATTTTCGAAAATATTAAACCCAAAAAGATTTTTGTTGTTTGTCGTTTGTTTTTACTTTGTTCATGCATATTATAGCGAAGATTCTCAAGACGTCATGCTTTTGATTCTAGGGTTAGGTATCTTTTCGAAAAACATTGAACTAGTTAGGATGTCCCTAGAAGCATGCTACAGCATGTCGACCCAAGCCTCCATTGACTCAATGTGTTTTTCGAAAGCCTTAATGAATTTTTCATTACACAAATTTCTTCCCAATCAGGCTGTATTCACATTAGTCCCTGAGCTACCTTACTCTTCTCAACTGAGTTAAGAGTTTACTTGCTTGGTCCAAACATAGCAGAGGTACAATTGTTTCGTCACACCAATCTTTTTAATCCTAAAATTCTTACACGATCACACACAAAGACATATGTCCAAGAGATCTCTGGTATAAACCAATCAGGATTTAGACATATCAAAAATCTGTGTTTATGATCTGGATTCATGAGGCCGTGATGAAAGTGAAACCCAACTTTTCGAAATTCTTTAAGGAATTGACGGGGAACTTTGTTCCAGATTTTTACGAAACATTTGTTTCAGTACCAAATTTCGATACTCAAAATCATATTTTTTCGTTATGCATGATCTTGATAGAATGTTCGAATCCCACGACATTTTACACCCAACAAGATCCATTACTTTTTGATGTTTTATTGAATATGATTTCAGTTTGAGTATCTATTCGATTCTTTGTCACTACATACATTTTTCCAAAGCATACTTGTCACTGAGTACACTGGTCAAACAAGTAATTTCGATTACAATTGATAACACTTACGTTTAGTGCTGAAATGTAACGAAATCCTAAACCACCCATCAAGCTTATTAAAAAGAGGCCCTTCGATACTTCTTTACAAGTATTCGATTGTAATTCACGGGAAACCACACAAGCTGTTGATTGTCTCTCTTGATAATTAACGAAGAAATCTTTGCCCGGGATTCATCTGCCTTTATGTCGAAATCTTATTTTCGACATCACGGAATCCAAAATTTTGTTTAATTTGCTTCTTATCTTTTTCTTTGGAACACTGCACTCACGAAATCCTTGAGTTTTTGAGTAATACCAACTCAGGCTGAAGATTTCGAAAGTCTGGCATATGACTTCGCTTCTAAACCCAAAAGCGAAAGAGCCCAACCTCCATACCGAAGGTTTTGGTACTCTCGATTAGACAGGTGATGTAACCGTTTGGCAACATGGTGGGATTTTCAAGGTTGCTTTATCTGACATGGCGTTAATAATGGCTAGTGATGCGAGTTTCAAGGAGAGACGTGGCATGGGGTTTAATTAAATCGTTTGGTATTCAAATACGGATACATATATAAAGCGGATTTGTTTCACAATAACACTTTACGCTTTAAAAAATTCTCACAGACGATATTTGCCCTAAATTCTCTATGCTCTTCAAGTTCTCTCAAAACCCTAACAATGGCAGTCAACCAATCCACTACCACTGAAGATGTTTCCTCTCAGTCGATCATGAAGCTTCAAAGCACTAATTACCAAGTTGATGGTGATGTCTCAGTTTATTCCGATGAACTCAAGATGCTAATTGTTGCTCTCAAACATACAGTTTTGTCAACTGTGATGTTTAATTCTTTTGATGTTCCTATGTCATGCCTTTCAATGGCTGGTTCTACTGCAACCTATGGCAAGGCAGTGGATGTCGTTACCTTCAACTTGGTGAATGACAACAAATTTCTCCTCACTAAAAAGCTGTTCACTCAAATTCTTGAAATCCCCAATTCTCCTCTATTCTACAAGGTTACGAATGATCAGATTCTCCATATGTTCAATGAGATGGGTTATCAACCCCCTCTCACCAAGATTAGTGAGTTCAAGAAATCAAGTATGCCCTGTATCTGGAACTTTTTCTTTGGAATTTACCTTCGATGCTTAACTGGTCGAAGTGTAGGGCTTGACAAGGGTCGATTGGAGGTTTATGCCATGGTGGCTGGCATATACTATGATCTACCTGTAGATTATGCTTCGCAGATGTGGAAGGAGTTTCAAAAGAGTGTAGAAAACACAAATGTGGTTCAAGGGATTTCTTGTGCGAGATATTTGAGTCTTATTCTTCGTTATGCATATGACAAAGAAGGAATTCAGGTTCCTGTTGATGAACCTAAAGCAGAATTTTTGAAGTATCATTTTCCGAAGACAGTTGAAGATGATGTAGAGGCGTTTCCGAGTGTTGCACGTATTCCTGATGCAATGCTTAAAAAGATAGATCCAGCAAATCCAATCTTGGTGGCTTACTTGAAAATAATCAACCCTTCGCTGGAAACTGGAGTTCTTTTGCCAAGAACAGATGAGGGGTCTTCGAAGAAATCTAAAAATTCGAAGAAGGAGAATGAAGAAATTTCTTCGAAAGAAAGTCCCATGAAAATCCTTGCTAAATCACCAAAGAAGGTGTCTGGTGAAAAAGTTTCGAAGCAAGATGGCAAGCAAGGTGTTCCTTTGAAGGAGTTAGTACCTTCAAAATCAAGAGTACTTAAGAGATTGAAGAAGTTATCTCACAAGCCACAATCATCTTCTGAAGATCAATCATCGTTAGTTCGAAAAGCTCAAATTAACAGGAGAGAGGTTATTATTCGGGAAATTCCAGCACCGGTTTCTCTGTGTTCAAGGAAACGCAGAGCTGAAGATGTTGCAAAGCACATAGCAGAAAAGAGAAAGAAGAGAAAGTTGGTTATTCATGAAGAATCATCTGATAGTGAGATTTTTCCTGAAACACCTTTGGGATCCAAGTAACCTCTATAAACATCCACACCAATAACAGTTGTTGATATTCCACCCGAAGCTTTGGAAACTAAGTCATTTACTGAGGCGATTCCAACTTCAGACATCCCTGCACACGTATCTAATATGGATGCAAATGTCATCATGGGTGAGGCTGTATCGAATGCTGATGGTTCTCAAGGTATAACTCCTATTCTTACTTCTACTACTTTCGAAGCCACTACAACTCTCAGTACTTCTTTACCATTATTTGTTTTGAAAGTTCACACAACCACTACTTCACCCACCTTTGAAAGCATCCTACAACAACCTTTCACTACACTATTCACATCTCAATCCACTGATCCACCAAAACCCAATTCCGATGATGAAACTGATGGAGGGGGTTTCAGAGGTACATTTGCAGACTTAGAATTTGATCTCGAGGAAGAAAACATTCCAGATCATAAGCTAATATCTGGAAAACAGTTCAAGATTCTAAATAGAAAGCTCAACTCAATTCTTCAATCCCAAGCCGACTCAAAAGCTAAACATTCAGTTTCGGGAATTGAGGTCGATGTAATGCTCAAGGCACAGGAGCTACGTCTTCAACAAAAACTTGATCAGATGGATAAAAACAATGAGCTCAGAGTCAAGGCTCATGCTGACTCATTTAATGGTGAAATAAAGGATCTCATGATGGTTGCCAAAGAACGCCACGTTATGTTTATCAAAGATGTCAAGACTGTGCGAGAAGATGTGAATCGTATGCTTGAAGAAATGAAGGTTGATGTTTCCAAAGAGATAAATGACTTAGCTACCCACTCTTCTTTAATTATCTACAAAGTCGATATCATTGCAGCTGCAGTCATGAATTTTGTACAAACTTTTCAATCCTTGCTTCCGATGGTTGAAGCTAAGGTCAGTGATGATGTTCTTAATTTCAAAAAACTAGGAGCATTACTTGGTGAAATAAAAGATCTTGTGTTAAAGTCTGCTACAACATCTCCTTTAACTCCTGAGTTCTTAACGCAGAAGTTCAATTCCCTTGAAGAAGCAATAAAGAAAGCAGTGGCACCTTTATCGAAATTTGCAAATCTTTTACCAACCAGTGCCCCACCTGTTGCCACAGGGGTGCAAGGGGGAGAAAAGGAGAAGGTTGGTAAGGATGTGAAAGTAAGAAAATGAGGAGAGGAGAAAGCAAAAACAGTTGGCAAGGTGATTTCAACTCAAATCCCAACTCCTATTGTTTCGAAAGTGAATACTGTGATGACAACCAAAACCACAACAAGACCTATTCAAAAAGGGATTGTTATTGGTTCAACAGTTGGAGGTGATAGTTCAAGTTCTTTGAATCCTAAGCCAACTGAAGCTGATAAGGGAAAAGGAAAATAGATAGTTGTGGAAAAATCAAAAGATGAAAAGAAGGCTGAAATTGAATCAGAAATGGAGAAGCAAAGACAAATACAAAGCATCCTAAGGCTTCGTGAAAATGATCCACCAACAATGGATAAAGGTGATCCGAAGAAACTCCATAGCTATGAAAATATTGAAGCCAGAGTGTCATACAATGAAATGTATGCATTCGAAAAGAAGCCCATAAAAAGTTATGCTATTGAAAATACTAATATGAATCAGCTTTATTTCCCTATTAACAAAATGATGTTCATCACTGCTCAATGCAAGATAATTGAAAAATTCAAGAATGAAGATGACTTTCTACATATGAAGCTGAGGTTTCACGCAATGTTGGGAAAGGATCAGGAGGAGGTTTGGTCCCTTATCAAGATTGTTCGTGTGATAAGTGTGACTAAGGACGTATTGTTCGAAGACATGATTCAAAATTTTATATTTCATGTTGTAAGAGCAAACAACGTTGTTTATGATTTTTCTGTTGCTGATTTTCCATTGATGAACTTGAATGATCTTATTCAAGTTGCATTAATTCTCAAGGATATGGATGCTTCGAAACTTCAAGGAACAGGCAAGGAAGTTTTGAGACTTGGGCTTGGTCACATCAAAATTTTCATAGACAATTACTATGATTGTCTAGCCTTAACTGATATTGAGCTGTGTACAACACTGGGAAAGGAAATAAAAGTTGCCCAAGAAGCTGTGAAGAGCCAAGCAGAACTGAAGAAGTTTGCCGATGGAGAAATTTGCTTAAAGCCAATGGGATTAGTCTTTTCGGGAAAAGACAAGAAGGGAAAAACTAAGAGGTTCTTATTTCAAGCTTCAGAAGTGGAAAGATATACAACAGCTCAATATACAAACTTTATTGTTCGTATGGACAATTGTAAAAAGAATAACAAAGGAGATAAGGCTGAACTAAAGAAGGTTATGCGCTGGTACACCGAGATTCGAAGAATGATTCATATGGATGCTCAAATTCTCACAAACTGAGTTCGACACTGATTACAAAGGGGGAGAATGTTGAGTCAAATATGTTGTAATGTGTCGAAGTTTGTTGAGTTGGTTTCGAAAGTCTAGTTATCTATTTACTAAGGCATTTAAGTTTCGAAGTCTTAACGTCTAGTCCTTAGGATTTTTTGTATACTTTCTGTTCTCCTATAAATAGGAGTTGTACTCAGGGTTAGATAGAACTTTTCTAAGTCATTATTTCTAGAACACTCTCTGTATTTGAAAGTATAACTGAGCTATAAACCAGATCTTATTTACTCCTCGTGTTCATATTGCTTTGTTTACTCTGATTTCTTTCTTATACTCGATTAATCACTTCTACAATTTAAACATATTTGAAAAAAAATCTAAATCCTTAAATATATAATTAAATTCAATAAAATCAATAATAAATAATAGAGAAAATTACATAAATGGTCCCTGTGGCATAAACAAATTACATAAATGGTCCCTATAAAGGAAGGACAAATATTTTATTTTACATAAATGGTTGTCTTTGCATGATTTTGAAACCACAAGCACCATCTATGTAAAGAATTCGGTTTAAGGACAATAATTGGTCGACTTTGTCAACCATGAGGACCATTTATGCAATTTTGTATTATTTAAACAAATGACATACAAATGTACAAAATATGATGCTAAATGACAATAGAAACTACCCTAAGAGATGCATCAAAATGGCATCTATCAAATCTCTCCAAGCTTGAACCTTACTTGCCCTCAAGTAATAAAAAAATTATACATTATGAACAAATGGAAATATGTAGATGACCTAAAAAGAATTTAAAACAAAATATATGAAACTAATAACTTGAACTAAAAATACTTCACTTTTTTTTTTCTTCACATGGTCAAATTTCACACCTAGGAAGCTCGAATGAAATCACTACCTAGACAACAGTCTCCATACCTTTATAGCAGATTCATAATTCATATTTAATAAGTTAAACCAAGCTTGAGTAAATAATTTTTACGTCGAATTAAATTTGTGAAAACTGTGTTTTTTTAAAATATAATTTCATGAAAATTCGTTTATAAACTTAGCTTGACCAACCCCTCCTTTTTTTTCTAACGTGTCCAGTAAACGTGGTAAGCTCCATTATGAACAAAAAATCCAAGCTTACCCCCTATGATTCCACTATCAAGGGATATATCTCATTATAACACACATCTTCTTTGTGTTGATAAACTCTTCAGATTTAACTTGCTTTGTTCTTAATTTCCACTTGAACTTGACTTGGATTTGACTTGAATTTCAAATTTCTACAAGTTGTTTGACGTACCATTTCTGACAAATATATAGATCAGACCCGAATTTTACTTAGAGGCCCACCATATCTTCAATACTTCAAAAATGATAAATAAATTGTGTAGATATAACAAGAATTCCCTCCAAATCTCAAAAGGCATAGAAACTATCGGGTTTGGTACTTTAAGGAAAGAAAAGGGATATTCAATCTAGGTTTTTTTAAGGCATTTAAGGAAATTATTTCTAAAACATTGTTCGTTTTTCCACCCCATACATCCATTGTAAAAATTATGCGACTCATATGTTGGTTCATATTGTGAAAACATTTAAAGCACTTGAAAAGATAATTATTAAAAAATTATTGTAATGAGACTGTTATTTTCGATTTCTATCACACTTCATCTTAAAAGAGATATCGAATGTAAAAAAAATCCTCATCTGATATAACTTTTCAAAAGAAAAATTGATTTTTTTTATTGTTGAATTTTTATATGCAGAAAAAAAACTAAGTAACTAGAAATAAAATCTTTTTGGGTTTTTTTTGTTATTTTTATACGAATGAAGAAAAATAAAAAGGAAAATATTTTTTGGAATTTTTAAACTTTTTTATATGTGAATGCGATGCGGAAAGTAAAATGCAAAAAGAAAAATAAAATGATGCATTGTCCTCAATGCTCAGAGAGGAATGAACAACTTAATAAGACATATAAAAGCAAAAGGTGCATCTAGGAAAGAATGTATCTGGTAAGATTGTAGAAAATTTTGATTTTGACGATGAATGTTGGCGAAAAATCTGGATTTCAGCAACTCTGTCAATCCTCTGATTTCCCCAAGTTTGCTAGGTACTTTGACCATCTCTTTAGTGAAAGCGTAAAAAACAGAAAACTACTCCGTAGGTTTCCTCCCAGAAAGCCGCTTATTTTTAATGTCGTTGGCTCAACTTTTCCCAACCAGATTTATTAAGTGGTGTGGTTGGGACTTCATTGAAACTCAACTCATTTTGTTATGACTCCAAATCCTTTCAAATATGGTAGAATTGGTGGATCTTGGATTTGTTCAACAAGATGGAAAGACATCATATTTTCTTCAGATAAGTTTTTCAAAATTTTGAACTTTTTTCGTTTTCAGATCATCTTATTTCTAGAAAGCTTCTCCTTTTTATGATTTGTCTCTGATGTTTACTTTGTAGAAATCAGTTTCTTTTCTAGTACCTTCTAAACTGAAATAATCACTTTCTCATCTTCTTTTTCCAAAAGTTTGTTTCTTTTCATATTTTTATCAGATTGTTCGCCAACAGATTTTAGCTCCTCCTCTTACCTAAACTTAATTATGTTCAGCTTCTTATCAACAACTAACTTTTCTTCTTTTTCCCCAATCTTTTCTTTTTCCAGCTCTTCTGATGTGGCAGATAATTTTTTGTCTACAAATTTGTCTTGCATGGAAACATTTGAAAACTCATAGCAGCCTTCGGATAAAGGACTTCTGGTACCTAGATAATAAAGAGAAATATTATGAGAAGTATCATAATCATTCATTTTCAAATTTGCCACATCCCCATCAAATTCCATAGAAAGCGTACCAACAAAAACATCAATTTTCATTTTAGCAGTTTTCAGAAAAGGTCTTCCCAAAATAATCGAGTTTTTATCTGATACGTTTAGATTACCCATTTACACAATATAAAAATCAACGGGAAAAATAATCTCACCCACTTGGACAAGAACATCCTCCAATACACCTTTTGGGTGTACTGTCAAGTGATCTGCCAACTGAATGAGTGTCCAGGTCTTTTGTAAAGTTCCCAATTTTAATTGTTTAAATACATAAAATGAAGGACATTGACTGATGAACCAAGGTTAAGCATGACATTTGAAAAAGTAAGGTTCCTTAATTTACAAGGAACTGAGAAAATCTTCGGATCCTTGCACTTTGGAGGTAAACCCTTTAGCAAAATAGCAGAAATATTTTCACCAGATTTGATAATTTCATTAATTTTAAATCTTTTTTTTGAAAAACATAAATTTTTTAGAAACTTGCCATAACGAGGGATATGTTTGATAACATCTAAAAGTGGACGATCTACCTCAACTTTACGAAAAATTTCCATGATGTCTTCATCCTCTCTTTCACGCTTCGTATTTCACAGTCTTGATGGAAATGGAAGTGGGGCTTTGTACTCCTTCAGATTCGGCTTCACTAGTTGTGGAGTTTATGTTATTTTATCCTCTTTAAACAACACTTCTTCATATTCTTCATCAACTTTCTCTGTTTCTTTTACATCTTCTTCAACTAGAACTTCTTCATATTCCTCTTCAGTTTCTTTTTCTGGTTCAGATGCGCTTGAGTCTTCATAACTTTTTCCCAATTCTCAAGAAAATAGCATCACATTGTGCTTTGGATTATTTTCAATATGCCCCAGTAACATTACTTGAGATTCCAGACGACCCATAGAAGTGGCAAGTTGAGACACCTCTTGTTCCAAATTTTTGATACTAGCTCTGGTTTTGTTCTAAAATGATTGGGTTCTCGTCGAAAGACTCTTCACTATATCATCTAAGGCCACACTAGAACTAATGGGTTGTTGATTTGAAGATTGATTCTGAAAATTTGGAATTTGATAAGTTTGTTGCTGAAAGTTTTGCTGAAAGTTTTGCTGAAAGCTCGGTTGCTGATAATTTCGATGCTGATGGAATCTGGGTGGCATCTGATATTGCTGTTTCTGCTAAAAATTATTCTGATAATTTTTTTGATAGCCTCTGGCAACTTTCACTACATTTGTATCCTCTTGTAGTAACGGACACATATTTGTTGGATGTTCCGTGTCCAAGAAGATTCCACATGATTTTTTGCATCTATTTTTACCTTTGTCAGGAGCAGAACAACCCTTATCAGTTCAGAAATCTGAGAGTTGAGATGAGCATTGGTAACTTCCTTGGCACCCCTTGGCGGATCTGGATAACACTCGTCTTCAGTACCAAATGTTTTGACTCTATCGTCAGCTTTTCAATCAGCTCCCGAATTTCTATTGGTGTCATATCACCTAAGGAACCATTTATAGAGCCGATAATCATTAATCCCATGTTGGGGGCACCGAACTTGAAGCTTTTTGAATCTCTCCCAGTAAGTGTGTAAAACATCTCTTTTTCCTTGTTTAATACCAAGGATTTCTCTTCCGAGACTAGGAACTCGCGTTTCTGGAAATACTTCTCTAAAAATAACTTTGCGAGTTCTGTGCAAGTGATGATCAAACCATATGTTACCGCATATAGCCACTCTCTTTCTGAGTGCTAAACTGAAAACGGGAATGCCCTTAACTTTATCTGATCTTCTGTAACAGCATGTGGCTTCATTCTTGAGCATACCACATGAAATTACTTGAGAAATTTATGTGGGTCTTCGTTTTCTAAACCTATGAACGTGGGAAGAAGATGTATCTGACCAGATTTCAAATCAAAGTTTTGGGTGTTGGAAAAGTAATGTAGAGCGGCTGTTGATTGACCTCTTGAGTGGCCCACTCTCTGCGAGTCTTTTCTGCTTCGTCTCCACTCCTAGCTAATTCTTTAGTTTTTGTTTTTTAAGAGTTTTTGGTTTCAGATTTAACTGAGGGTGGTGGGGAATAAGTTTTATATAAGTTGTTTAAAGGAAATGATGGGGGTACTTTTGGAAAAAATGAAAATGTCGGATCTGGTTTGTTCTACAAGGGACTGTCTTGTGGTGTGGTAATTTCTGATGGTACTGAAGATGAATTCAAATGATCAGTAATAGGAGTTCCATCATGGTACTTCAAGCCAATCATCTTTTTAATCAGTAACAATCTATTGTTCCCGGTCTTCCGAGCATACAACGGCTCTAGCTTGTTCCACAAAGTAAGAGCATGAGTCTCACCGCTAATCTGGTTCAAAACATTATCATCAACCCATTTTCGAATAAACCCATAACTTTTTCTATGCAAAATATTCCACTCTGCATCTGTTTTATCTTCAGGTTTGTCAGTGTGAAACACATGCATATAATAATCCTTCACATAAAGAAGTTCATCCATCTTGCCTTTCCAAACTTGATAATTAGAACCATTCAAATTTAAAATCCTACTTGTATTAGCTTCCATTGTTTAAACAAGTAATCTAATAACAAAAACAAAAGTTCTGATACCAATCTGATGGGAAAAAGATAGCCACAATAGTAAATAACAATGCGTAATAAAACTTTGTTTGACTAAGCTTTTCATGTCTTGAATGAACCTTTGAGGATGCAAAAAAATATGGTATTTCCAATTGAAACAAAGCAGCCTCAGTGCAAGTTATATGTTCAATATAATCATTCAAAAAACAATAAGTAATCAACCAATAGAGACACATTAATTTTTAGCGTGGAAAGCTCTCAAGAAAAAGAGAGTAAAACCAGGGGACTACTAGAGCTACTTCAAATCCATTATCACCAATATTTAAGCAATAAAAACTATTATCTAGATGTATTAGACGCGTAAAATAATTATCATATACTTCGAACTAAATCACATCAAGAATATGGAATCAAATAAGAAAAAGAGAAAGAAGAATATCACCGAAAATAGTGTTGTTGTCCAGCAACTAATAGATGCTGAGATTCTTAAGACTCCGAGTTAGGTCTCGACAATTCAACCATTGGATATGATGTATCGATGTTAGGAAGATGTTGTCAAAAAGTAATAAAAACTGATCATCAGATCTCCGATAAATTACCAAATACTACACGTGTGTCTTCAAAAACGGGAAAAACAAAAATACTTCTTTTACTCTTCTCTCTCACTATGGTGGCTGAGAAAATTTTTTGTGCATCATACGGAACATTACGGTAACAAATAATATATATAACATGGGACTATATGGTCTAAATAGATGATGGACTACTCATGGGCTAAAATAAACCCAATACTTGTTTAATTAGCCAGTAAAAAGTTAAGGTTAATTCAAAGAGCTTTTTTTGGTTAACTAATTAGGTAAAAGAGAATGCACTAGAGCTTATTAGTTGTTCTCAGTACCAACTTGGATATAATTTATCTCAAATAATCAGGTCAATGTTGATTTCCTGATTAGGAAAGTCGCAGCAGAACTGAAATTTGTTTTTATTAATGAATTTCATTGAGTTACTTCAATACTTTTTTTTTTTAGTTTTAAGTAATAACCAAAAATCCCTTTTTTTATTATTTATTTGTTAAATGATTAGTATGTGCCTCACGCAAAAAGGCATTGATTGTTAGGTTATGTTCTTGTGGATTCGGCCCTGCTACCATGTGCTACCAATTAGTGCGTTCATGCAAGGAAAATTTTATTTGCTTAAATCATGCGCAACATCGGTTTGACAGTTATAGAAGTACACATAGTCAAAACCTATGTAACTCACCAATAATATTTGTTGACATATTTTAAACATGTTTATTTCCAGGAACTTAGAAGCTGAAATTTCATGGCATGCATTTCATAGTAAGTCTATTTCCTTGCCCCTTTGTTGGCCTATATATTCAAGCCTTTATGTTATTTAGAATTACGATTTGCTGAACTTGTTATCGTATTTTTAGGACACCTGGTTACGTAACTTTTGTAGCAAGATTTATGGAAGATTATAATATATTATTTTAAATCCTTGTAATGTTCAATACATGTTTGTTGATTGTGATCCAACGTTGGCGTCGCAACCCCAACACTTCCATTATGGATGGAAATGGGGCGGGGTTGACTATCCCCATCCCCATACCCGAGTGTCTACCCTCGTCCACATCCCCATCCCCATCCCCGACGGATGCGGGAAATCAAATCCCCTCCCCTTTGTATTTTGGGCTTTTCCCCAACCCATCCTCGGCCCATCCCCAACCCATCCCCAATCTATCAACATAATAAACTCAATTTACAAAAAAAACCAAGTTTAATAAGTGATCAGAACCATATGCCATAATCAAATTCTGTTTACATCAATCATAAAGTTTAACAAATATCAAAACGAAAAGTGACGATTTGGTATACAGACCGTCGAACAAAGTGACGATTGTTAAACACTGGGATTTGGAACATAATTTGGTATATGAATTCTATCTATGATGGTCTAATATAGATCAATTGTTAAACACTTGGGATTTGGAATATATATATATATATATATATATAAATATATATATATATATATAATATATATATATATATATATATATTATATATATATATATATATATATATATATATATATATATATAGTCTTCAAAGCGGGGGCGAGGCGGGTTGGGGATTGTTATACCCGGCCCCGGCCCCATCCCCGATTTTAGCATAATGGGAATCCCCATCCCCGCACCCGGTACCTGTTTTGGCGGGGAATACCCATCCCCGATTGGGGCGGGTCAACCTGGTTCCCCACCGGGTCGGGTGAAATTTCCATCCCTAACTTCCATCGCCGGCCAGGATGAAACATAATGTTTCCATGTTTATCCTTCGTCATATCTCAATATCCTCCAAACTCTAACTCTAACTCTTACAATGACCAAAAACAAGCATGGCACAGGAAGGTAAGCATACTCATTTTTCAATTATTAAACAAGTCTAGAGTCATTTAAGCTAGTCATCTTAGGAGTTTTCCAAAATCCAAAGTAAAAAAAATGGACCAAGATTTACCAAAAAATGTCCATAAATGTGATGAGAATGATGGATCTGAGCTGGAAACTAGCTTTCTTGCGCCACAAAGAGGCTTCCTTCACCTTCTAGCTTCACAAGACAAGGCTTAAACACTCAGAACTCATGTATGGAAGCTAGGGTTTTGGATTAGGGATGTTCTCATGGAATGGGGGTTGCGAAATGTGGCAACCTTAATAAAGATATGTACCTTTAAATAGGCCATAACGCCCGAAAATTAGTGTTTCAGATTTCAAGAAGGTCGCTCTATGAGTCACAAGACTGGCACCATGATTTTCATTAAAGCTCACACCATGACCATCCAAGGTCGCACCATGATTTCTGTCACACACCCGAAACAAGACGGCGGAAATGTCCGGGGGCGGATGACGTCATTGTGTAGTAACATAACAATTGGATATAAATGAAACATAGCAACCAAACAACATACATTGAGAATACAATCGTCATAAGTTTAGAATTTGTAATTATTCAAATGTTACATAAAAGCGACAGAATTGTAAATTCCATAATGCAAGTCGTTTTGAAAAGCGTCAACATAGAATGTTGGTGAGTCCATAAGCATTTTTTGTATGAAAAATGGTTTGTATCCGTTTTGTTTGAAAAGTGTTGTATGATTCCAGAAAATCAAATATTTTTCCGTAAAAGTGAATTGTATGTTCCCAGAAAATCTCATATTTTCTGATTGTATGAAACTGCAATCTTAATCCCTAAGATCGGAATAGTGACAATAGAGTACTGAAAATAGTGTGTAGTTTTATATTATATAAAACCAGTGAAGTGTAAGTTTCCCGTAAATAAAGATAGTGTTGTTAATCCCTATGTGAGTCATTATAACCATGCTTGATGTGACTGTTATGCCTCTCATGACGTTCTTCAGGCGTCGGATGCGGTAAGATATTTGTCACTCTATACTGGCCCCGTCTAGATGTAGCGAACACCTCATGTGTGGGGGTGTCAATCCCCGTATAGATCTATACAGAACTATCTCGCTCTCCCTCTAGGAGACTCTGTTTATAATTACAGGACTTAGAGTGTACGCTAAGTAGGTACGGTGAAGTTAGTTTCTGACTAGAGCACTAACGAATTTACGCAAATTTTAACTCCCTTTATTGAATAATGAACATGACAGGAGCTTTATGACACGCGATTCATTGGTTTCATGACTCGCTGTTTATTACACGCGTTTTACAGATTTCATGACATGTAGTGTATTATCCATGTTTTATGACAGGCAGATTATGACGTGCAAAATTTTCTATCGTAATTCTGTTTTGTATACCATTTCGGTAAAACTATTTATAACACATAAGGAAAATAGCCATTTGTGAATATGTCTAGTGGTAACATATGTTGTAAAAATAGCATAATTTCTTAGGTTTTAAGCCATCCAAATAGTGACAATATAGTTACGACTATTTTACTAATAAAATTGTTTTAGCAAAATATCAAGCTTTGTAGTTTTTTTAACACTCTATAACCGGTTTGGAAGTTGTAACGCCCGTAGATCCGGGCTAGTCAATTTAGAGATAATAGGGGTCGAAAATGACTTTTTGAAAAAAGATTATTTAGAATAAATAATCTTAACCAAGTTGCAGAATACGTCTCAAGGGTTCCGTACATATAAAGAACGTTGAAATCCGAGTTATAACGAAGAAGTTATGGTCCGTCGAAGTTTTACGGCAAAACCGGCACGACACCGGGAGATGTAAATAGTGAATTTACGATGGAGGACTTTTTAGCCTTAGAAATCTAAACAAAAGTTGTAGTATACGTTAAACCGAGAACATACAAAAAATGAACGCCCAAATCTGACTTCGTATGAGGAAGTTATGAATTTTCTAAGATATGGCTTAACAGTGCACAGCCCGAAACTCGAATTTTAGATCGAGCGGTTTTTGACCTACGCGACCTAAATGAGAATTGAATATATCATTAATAGAAACTTAACGGTAAAAAAGATAGACGAAAACAGAGTCCGTATGTAGAAGTTATGAATTTTACGCGGATATTTAACCGTATAATCTCCTCGTACTGTTAAATTTAAGATCGGTTGAGAATTAGCCGACGGAGTCAAAATGAAAGTTGTAGATCTTATTTTTACCTACCCGTGGATATAAATAACGTCGAAAACGGAGGTTGTATGTGAAAGTTACGGATTTTCGAAGTCGGAAGTGTGCTGTGCGAAAATGGCTGATGTGGCACAATCTTGGCCATTGCTTTCTCCCCAAGTCTTGCCACTAGATGGTGACATGTGACACCAAGTTCAGCCATTTTCACCCTATAAATAGAACCTCTCCCACCCTCATTTTATTCACACCTTTCCCATTCTATCTTCTCTTTACTCCCTCTCTAGAACCTCTCTCTAGCCCCGAAACCCCCCCGAAAAGCCTAGGGAACCTCCCTAGCACGAGGCGGAAGCCCCCGAGTGCTCGACGGCTCCGAGAAGAAG